ATCTAGTGATGGCTCTTCCATGAGTGCTCTAGCACCAGATTCTCGTACCGCGGGAATGATACGGGTGGCGCAGTAGAATACTATTATTCGATAGGTCAAAGAGATCATTACCGAGGGCGCGATGGTCTGGAAAGCGGCATGCAGAAAGCTCAGTGATGAATAGACAGCAGATGGTAACGACCCAAGTAAGTGGAGGAAAGTCGAATAGCTTGCCATGATGATAGGTGGCAGAGGGGGGAATTCAGGTTGAGTAGAAGCCTGCTCAAGCGCGGCTGCTTGGGCCTCGGGTGACTGGTTGTAATCCGTAAATATTTGATAGACGCAGAGGACAACGTATGCAAAGAGGAACGAAGACTCGACGGGATTTCCACGGCCGGTGCCGATGCCGATGGCGCATAAGAAAACGGCGGACGTGACTGTCACGCCTATCAGGGTCGCGTCGATGTTGCCGATGGTAGGGAAGAGAGCGACCCTCCAGAGGAAATACACGGCGCTGGCGATGGTGGAGGCGGAGAATATAAGGAGGAGGAGCTATAAAGCCCGGATTAGCAACGGTATTGAGAGGGGCTCGGTAAGAAGCATGGACTTACGACCCACGTATCGCTTCGCCCTCTGTTCACAAGCCATCTGGAAACCTGGCCGGCGGCCTGGATAACGAGAAGAGTGCAGAACCCCTCGGCTAATTGGAAGACGGGGCTAGAATAGCTCAGGATCTTGTCCCACGCACCGAGGGTGACAGATTCGACGAGGCCACCATTGCCGAAGACCCATTCGGTCCAGGTGGTGTGCTTTCGATGGCCCAGTCCGCCAATAGTCCTCGATACCCAGTCGGTGCTGCTTGCATCGACGGCGAAGTTGTGCAGGGACCAGATCAGGAGGGCGGGTATGACAACCCACTGGGACGTCTGCAGCACCTTGGTCAAGGCCCACCGCACCCGCGAGTGGTCGGGTGTTGCAAGCTTCGCAGCGCTGTAGACGAAGTAGAAGCCGAACAGCGCAAGGCTGTAGGCCAAGCCGGTGTCGCGTCCGCCTACATCGAAGGAGATGGGGATGGAGAGGATGACGGTCAGGAGAAAGATGGAACTCGAGACGATACGGAAGAACCACCACATGGGCGCGGTGATGGTGGCTGTTGCCGCGCCGAGCGAGCGAGGCGGCTTGCCAGGGCGATGGATGGCTTATCCGTGGGATGAGAGGGAGGCGGGAGTCGGGCCGGGACAAGGCTCTTGATGGCGAGGGACGAGGGAGGGCTGGAGTGGGGAGAGGCGACGATGGTGGCGCTAGAGCTAGCCTTGAGGTCGAGGTCGAGGCATACGCGGCGACGTCGTCGAGGACTTCAGGAACGGCGATGGAGACGGCGATGGCGTGATGGCAGGTCGGCGGGCTGTGCGAGGCGGGTAATCGCGCTGTCGAGGTGGGATGTCGAGGATCGCGAGGTCGAGGAAGAAGATAAGGCAGATTCAGGGAAAGCAGGCAGGTAGGCGGAAAAAAAGAGAGGGAGGGTCAGATGACGGCGCTTGCTTTAGTGGGTTGTCTAGCCGAAGTAAAATGACGGGCTGTCGATCTGCTAGATGTGTTTTTTTGGGAAAAGCACCATGAACGGAGGTTCCGTCCGATGTTGGTCGAATTATGAGGTTAATGTGACATCTGCCTCTGGTCGAGACCCAAAGGGTTAGGTAGGTAAGGTATAATAGGGTATTGAAATGATGTATGTGGCACCGAGGAGACGCGATGTTGCCAGGTGGCTCGACTGCTGTTTATCAAGCGATGTGGTGCTAGCTATTCACATGCAATTACAGCATTGCTATGGCGCTGTGAGCTTTGACAGCTGGCAAACATTTGGCTGGCGAGGGTTGAAGGTTTAGGTAGTACTATGTAGGTATTTGCTGTACATGCCTATACATGTATGCCCTTCTAGAAAACAGGAGTCAGCAACAATCTGTTGCAACAAAATTCTTGCATGTGCACAAAAAGATTCATCTTGTGACAATAGAATCTTTTAGGACTAGGGCATTAAAAACTAGGCATACCAACCGCATATCGAAGTAGCAGCAAGTGGAGTTGATTTCCCCTTAGCTGACAAACGATTGCAAAATGCTGTTAGGTACTTACATGTAGGTATTGGGTTACATCATGAGCGCAAGGTACATATGTACTTAGTGTACAGATCTACCTACTACTGTACATATAGGTAGTGTAAGTATGTGTAGACGGACTGATAGTCTATAGATGGCCGTTATTGGACCCACCTGTCACCAAGTAGCCCCTCTATACCCCTCCAGCTCCCTGTCCAAGGTACCTGTCCTCAGTACTTACTTAGGTAGGCTGCAATGAGAGTAAAACAGTATTATGTAGGTAAGTGAAATGAAATTCTCCCAATATAATAATCTGTATGTTCTTTTCTAATACATTGTAATTGACCTCATTATATAAAGAGGCAGTTCTTATGGGTAGGTATTGTGTAAAATCTGCATGCTGCAGTCGATTGCGAATCGTGGAAGGGCCTAATCATAGCTAGTCCCTGCTTACCTAGGTATTTATTGCCGCGGTTAGCGTTGCAGCGCTAAGAACCCTACTAACTGGCCTACCTAGGTACTTACTATGTAGGACCTTCAGTAGGTACCTCTTATCTCTTGAGCGATCCTTAGAAGTGCCATCTAAACCAACAACAACCTCAACAACTATAAAGCATTTGACACCTTGAAGCTAGGAGCGGAATCTTAATCGCCACATTGATTTAGAGATCGATCTGTTTAAAAAATATCCTTTATATGTATAGTTGAAAACTTTATTCAGTTTTAGCAGCTTACTTAGCATTCCTTAAAAGTAATCAGCTGACGAATGGTCCTATACCTGGTACCATGATTCATTGACGCAGAAAACACAGCCAACAGATGAATCAGCAGAGTCATCTCGGAATCCGGAGACATCACGGCAAATAGTAAACCCCATATACCGATTCTAGTAGCCTTTCTTAGTAACGCATCACCCTACCAGAGAGCTACAGGCTATAGATAGCGTTGACCGAAATAATTAGACCAAGACAGGATGTCCTTCCACTTCGTGGATCAGTCCGACATCAACAACAAGGACGAGAGAAAACTCATCCGAAGCCATGTCATGAAAGGGAAGAATCTGGGCAAGAAAAGACCGAAAAGGGAACGAAATTCTAAATCGACAGCCAACAAGTCCACCATACCCCATAGAACGGGCGTTGGTAACGAATCAACTTCAATTGCGACGTTGCAACACCCGCAGTGCGAGAGTTCCATCCTTGCCGTCACTCGCCAAATTGCGAATGACCTCAGTCTCTTATCCCCTACGAGAGAAATCGCTTCACAGACCATGTTCCACATCAGGCAAAGTAGGATGCCTGGCGACTACATTGAACTAACAACATCACTGATTTATATTGAAGTGTCTTTCTATATTCTCGACGTTACCTCCCCTTCCGAGTTCTGTCAGTCCACTGGAGTCACTCAATGGATATGGTTCCAGCTAGCATTTTATAATGAAGCATGTAGGCCGTCAATTTAACCTCTATTTGGATGCTTGGGGTTCATTAACGATGGCAGATTTCCACTGCACGGTAGCCATAGCTTCCGCGTGTGCCGCCTTTCTGACAGGGGATTCGTGTCATTCCCCGGTTGCATTATGCCACATGTCTGAAGCATATCGCCTTATCAACCAAAAACTTTCGAGTAACGAGCCATTGTCTGATACCACTGTCGCCGTGGTAGCAGCCGTAAATACTTATGACAGGCTTTATGGCAACCCCCAGAAAGCCATGATTCACCTCAATGGGCTCGTAAGTTTGATAACATTAGGGGGCGGTATCAGTGAGCTCGCAAAAAGAAATATCATCATAGCTGAGAAGGCATTTCGGTATGTCTGAGCCTCCTAAACACAGACACAGGAACCCGCCGGTGCACTGACATCATCTCGGAGATCTGACATTGAGCTTGCGCTTTCTTGTGGCTCAACCCCGAAATTCTCTTCAGAGGATGTGCCTCGCCATCTCATCCTTACAGATTCGAGGGGTTGCCGAGAACCTTACAAACACGGAGAAGCCGAGCTCGTCGAGTCAATCCTGTACCAATCGGTAAGCGCAGAGCTTAGCGAGATAGTACTTGATGTCCTCCGTTTTTCACATCTACTTGACCAAGCAAGTCGCGCAAATAAACTAGATTCAGTAGCTTACCAGTGCACGCTCACTTATGTTGGTTACCGACTTCTCGAGATAAAACTTCCCCGCTACGATTCCCGAGCCGCCACAAGTTTTGACACCCTGGTGCAGTTAGCCCTGACTGGATTCCAGAACACGTTTTGTTTTGGCCTCGGTCGCAAAATCATGACGTTCCCTCTCGTAGTGGAACGGTTCATATCAGCAGCTCAGACCATCCGCGAAGACAACAAATCCCAACAGATGGTAGTCTTCTGGGCATTACTCATGGGAAGAGTCTCGGCACTCACGCGGGACGACGATTTTTGGCTTGTCCCAAGATTGAAGGCACTTGCCCACGAGTTGGGGCTTCGTACTTGGCCCGAAGCAAGCAATGCACTTCGCGCGTTTCCCTGGGTCAAGGCCGCGCACGAAGCCCAAGGCGAGAGATTCTGGAATACAAAACTTGCGCAAAGTGTACGTGTAGAACCTGCCTAGTATTCTTAGGACGTTAAATGAGGCTTTTGGTTGTCAATCAGCAGGCTCTTGATGTATCGAATGCAACTCAAATATCCCTGTAGTCCTAGCCGTACTTTAGAACTGTTGCTAAGCGCCAAAACAACACCTGACAGCCCATATTCGGCATAGTGGTCTCGTGGCATGGTACTTTAGGCGCCTAGTGTTAAGCAAGTGGGTAGATATTGATGATGTTGAAGATACGGAGATAATTCACATAAAGCTCCTGTGAGGATTGCTTACCATGTTTTTGCCATAATCTTTAAATCTTTCTAAGCCACCAATCGACCATCCGATCTTCGGAATACACCCCTTCCTATTCGGCTTAGTGGTCTAGTGGTATGATTCCTGCTTCGGGTTGTACCCTTCCATCTTACGTGGGAATGCAGGAGGCCCCGGGTTCGAATCCCGGCTGAGCCCATATTTTTTTCCTAATCTTTTCCTTATCTTGGCTAAGATTGCCTTTCTAAAACAACAACTTTGTTCACAACTAATCACTCTTAGCATCTTGTAGTTTTCTGCAGGGATGAAAGAAATATTAATAACTTATTTCCCTAGCAACCCCTCCTCCCCCCCCCCCCCTTACAGCAAATAGTGGTTGAACTAACAGTTATGTTAGTTATTTATTATATTTGGTGCCGCAGGGCTTATAAATTAGGGGCGGTGCACATTTTGCGGCTTCGATGTCTGCGAATCTAATGCGCATAAAGAAACAATTGCAATTCGTGTTGTTGTGACATACCGAGTGCTAGCAAGTTTGTTCGCCAATGGGGTGGGTTATTTATTGTAATACTCCTGTCAACACCCACACAGAGGAGAGAGAGATTATAAGGCTTATTAACGAGAAAATGCCACAAGACATATATATATGTAGGGAGGGAGGCACAACAAAGCTTCTCTATCCTCTTGGGACTAGACCCCTACAAGCTACCACTCTGTAGCATACAAGCCGCTGTATCGCTACTTTCTTCTTGTGGAATAGTTTTCACTTGCCTGATGGATCCGCACGAACGAATGCTCAAATCTGACGGGTCGGGCCTCGCGAGCTTCCAATAGCGACGCGCGTTGCCTGCTCGGCAAAGCCGCTATGTTCGGTGCGCAGTCCTTGGAGCACTTAAGCCACGACCTGCGAGACTCAAACGGTGTTACTACCTGTTTTCGGTGCAGCAAATACGGTCCATAGTGTAGTTCCAGGAAGCTGGTGTTTGCACACGTCTGGCCGGTAGCCGAAACTGGTTGGACTGTAGGCGAGATAGATCATCAGCGCCGTGCTTCGACGCGAGCGCCAGCGGGCTGCATGCGTTGCTAATAATGCCTCCCCATTCCAATATTCCCTTTATCAACCACTTCTATGGAAATGCTATCTTCCGAAGTATTGACTGGATTCTTTCGGCTTGTCGATACCATGTCTTTGAAAAACTGTGGCCCCTGTGTAGCACGGCGGGGCGCTTGGCGAGAGGGCAAAGCCATGGACAGCGTCGAGTTTGTCCTTCGGTCCGTTGACGCCCCACTGTTATATTAACGTGCAGACCCTCCGTGCCAGGGTTCGGGCTAGGGGGTAGGATTTGGAGGAACGTGGGAAGCCAGGGGATAGGCTTGGGCAGATCGGCACCCGAATTTGGGTCGACTTAGATAGGTGGCAGGGGCGCAGATATATAGGCACAAAAGTTGTCTTCGACTTCTTCCGCCTCGTCCTCCGGTCATCTCCGTTTGGGTCTGGCATGCCGGGATCCGTCTGTCCGGTAGGGAGGGGGTTGTTTTCTTCGGAGACGTCGGTCTTGGCGAAGGGTTGGGGCTTGGTAAAGGAGTAAGGTTATGCGGTAACCTGTCGGTGTGTAACGTCCGGATTACTCGGGGGATTTGTATTATCAGTGATGAAAAATGGCCGCGGTAGAATACTAATGGCCGAGTACAAACTCGAGCTAGCAAAAGCACCCGGAATAGAGACCGGCTACAAGATGGTATGTCCCGCTTTCGAGAAGCTCTAGGAAAGCATCCTCGTCGCGGCCACTTGGTACGTCCGATCCTTTTTGCATTCATTACATATGTGACGATTTCCGCTCTTTGGGCTTTTAGCCGCTTGTGAATGTCACCACTGCAGGCCTTTGGATTTCACCATATTACCGAAGTACCCGTCGAGTGATGGATGAATAGAGATGGTACCTTTGGCGCGTACACTTCGACACATGGATGCAGACTCGGAGTTGAAAGCAGTCCAGAAGGAGAGGGTTGTTCACGTGTTGCTGCCGTTTATCACGGCCTGGCTTTTGGCCAGCCGAAGCCATAGTATGGGCAGTGTATTGTGTAAGAACACAGTTCGCGTAGCACATTATTCTACGCTTCACCTTGACCTGAGGTATGTACTTTTTTTCTTCATTCCATCACTTTCGCCACTCTATACAACGCCGCGCTCGTTGAAAGGATTCATGATGTTAATAAGACTAGCCCTATCCTGCTCATCGTTAGGCGTTGAATTCTATTTGACATAGGGTGGGATGACATACAGGCTTATAAGTCACTTGGTAGTTAGCAACAGCAATGCATGCTTGGTTTATTCCGTTATCCCTCTCGGGGCTCGAGCAGTGCAATAATATGATCTAACCTATCTACATATTTGAATAGCTCGTGGTATTCCTCTCTGCTCAGTGTCCAGGACTGACATTCAGGAGGAAAGTCGCCAGCGTGCTCCTAGTCAAATAAATGCGTAACCTCGAGGGTATGTGGATCACATGGTGTTATGGCCAGCGACACGAATTCCTGTTCTGTAGATGACTTTGGCTCCCATACCTTCATCTTGTCGTGGTTCAACACCCACACGGATAGGATCACAAACCCGTTTAGACCGGTCGTGTTTGATTTCAACTGTTGGCGTTGAGGAAGAACAATCTGCGTGATGAAGCGCTGTGCATTGGCAGCCGCTATGTCTCGGCTGGCAGCGCATTGACCACTGATCGAATGGCCGACTTCGTGCCCCATTCGACACTCGTCCCCGGCCGAGTTGCAAGTGATGCTGCCGATGCGTTCCAGTTCGAGATAGGGAACCCCGTCGTTCGACGTCCCGATATTCTTCACCCTGGGCACTGGGATGGTCGTCCGGGCTGAGATGCGCTCTAGCGCGGCGGCTTCGTTATACAATCGTTCTCAATACCATTAGCCGGGAATTGGGGTTTCCCAGACCACGCTTGATGAAGCTTATTGAGGTCCAGGTGTACGAAACATTGTCCATAGTAGTGGTGGAGGTTTGAGATGGGGTGGCTACTTGCTGCGTTGAAAGTTGGAGATTGAGAAGATGGCCTACATGAATTCAGTAAAGATGAGAGCAAATTCCACATCACAGCACAGTGGCAGACCAACGAGGTATCTGCTATACGGGAGAAGATGGTTGGTGACATACGGAGTATTTATGCGCTCATCAGGGTTGTTTTTCACGTTCCGGTCCGAATCGATGTGCCCCTTTTACTTGGTATCCCACGAAATCCTAGCTGAACCCGACCGAACCACACAACTAGTTTGTCCCTGCATTGACATGACGAATAAAACCTGAAGGGCTAAAATGGTTGTAATCATGTTTTGCGTGGAATGATTTTTCAAGAATTAATTGGTTATGGACTTGATAAAACGAGTAGGTTTTTTTTTGGCTATATTATTGTTCCCTCAATGTTAAATTGGAGTTGGTATATTTGGCTTGTCGTCCCGTAGTAAATTCTGCCCTTATCAACTTCAGCTAGAATAGAACTTGAAGAGCTCTTCCGCATCCTCAAATATCTTTTTGGGTTCTCGGCTCATACTTTCGGAACGACTCTGCATCTCTAAATCTAGTATCCGAAGTGCAGTTTCGTCGTTTTCATCGGCACTCTGCCTAAGCTCCCGCATGACCTTGGACGCTCTTCCTGCTAATAACCTCACGCATTCAGCATGCCCAAGCTGCGCTGCCAGGTCCAAAGCCGTCAAGCCGTTCGAACCGGCAATCGTGAAGTCGGCATTATTTTCTAGCAGAAGGTCCACGGTGTCCCTGTCCCCGGCGCGGGCCGCAGTCATAAGCGCTGTATCCCCGTTGGCGTCTTTGATATTGACGGGCGCTCCCGCTCGGATAAGCCTCCTGACATCCTCTGCGGGAAGAAGCAGGGCGGCGTAGTGGATCGGCGTCGAGTTGAGTGGCCCGCCACAGACGTCCAAATCCAGGCCTTCAAACCGCAGCAGTCGGCAGAGGAATTTGCTGCTTTCATGTTGTTGACAGATGGTTGCGATGATGGGTCGCGTGAATAAGCCGCCACCGACGTTGGGGTCGGCGCCGTTGTCTAACAAGAACTCCGCGACATCAACAAGTCCGTTGCTGCAAGCGGCTTGAAGTGCCGTACATGCTTCACGACGGTCAGAGACGTTATCAATGTAGGCTCCATGTTCTACTAGTAGCTGAACCATCTCGAGGTGGCCCTGTGCTGCCGCCGCCTGCAGTGCAAATCCATGGGGTGAGTTAACATCGGCTCCCTTGGAAAGAAGGGCAGTGGCGATTGGGATAGTCCCGTCGTTCGCAGCTGCGGTTAAAGCGTTCCCAAATCTGTCTGTCGTGAGCGAAAATGGAGTTACAGGAGCATGGAAACACGTACTCTTCGCCAAGGGCGTTAGGATCAGCTCCAAAACCTAGCAGCGTCACGACCGTCTCTTGCTTTTCGAAATCCGTCGCGCTGTATAGACAGCTGTCGAGAAGCGCCTGCGGTAGGGAACCATTTGTGTGTTTCCAGCAGTCTTCCAGGATATCTTCCAACCCCTCGCTTCCTGTTGAAGCGCATTTGAAGAGCTTCTCACACTCCAGGCCACTGCAGTTTCCTAATAGGCAGCGGACCACGTCCCAATTGTTTTCTCCCGTGGCAGACTCCAGAGACTTTTGAAAGACATGGGGCTCGTATTCATAGTCAAGAAGCTTCTCTACTACCTCAATTCTCCCGGAAAACGAGGCGGCGATCAGCGCTTTGGCGTGCTCGTTGGCAGTCAAGGATGATTTTCCGGTTTCAAGAATAGTGCTCAATAAGGATATGTCCGATACCAGCGCTGCCAAGGCGAGTGGCGGTGGGAGCACTTCATCGTTGGATTCGTCAAGTCCCTGGTCATCTTGGTCTTGTTCACTGCTCGCTTTTTCTTCGTAGCTGAGCTTGACTCCCATCTCGATGAGCAGCGTCACTGCTTCGGTAATTCCAGATAGTATTGCTGCGTTGATGACAGGGCCAGTGGACGCTGCAACAGCGTCCTTGTTTGCTCCCTTTCGAATCAACTTGGTCATCACGTCGATTTTCCCGGAGAGAGCTGCCATCGCAAGAGGCGTACATGATTGTCCCTGGGGCCCCGCGTCATCCAGCCGGGCTCCTTTATTGAGTAGCAGCTCAACAATCTCCGTGTTTCCGAAACAAGCAGCTAGATGAAGC